GCTAGCGAGTAGGTTTATTATTATTGGCCTTAGCTACGATTACGTTCGCCTCTCTATTAATAATAAAGTTCTCTCTCGCTTATTATCGCTAAGTAGAGGTATCCGAAATACTAAAGGAGTTATTTAAGGGGATCTTTTAAAGGCCCTCCTCCGGAAGTATACCTTAGCCCTTAAATAAGAGGATCTTATTTAGTGTAGACTATAAATAGACTAAGATAGGTACTGCTACGAAGTAGGCTTCGGCCAAAATCTACCCACTATTTAACTAGGAGGCTAGACTACTCTTTTAGGATAGTTTATTTCTATTACTATAGTTAAGATAGAGGATAAGATCGATACTAATACTAAAGCGATAGATAACTATAATCCTAAGAGTATTATACCTAATAATATATAGGATATAGCGATATAGCTTAAAGAGTTAGATAAGGAATATACGGCCGACCTAATATCTATTAGCGACTTATTTAGTATAGTCTCTAATCTTTCTATAGCCTAGTTACTTCCTAATAACTACCTATCAGAAAGTAATAAGGAATATAGCCCCTCGTAGGAGAGAAAGGAGACTACTAAATATAGTTATACCGCCTAAAGAGTAGCTATAAATAAGACTTTAGCCCTTCCTACGGACGCTACGAACAGACAAAAGTTAGTAACACTTAGGCGTATTAGAAAGCTATCCCTTCCGGAACTAGATTTAACCTTTACTAAGGATATAATTTATCTGCCTTATACGAAGAGAGTGTTTAAATTATTTAATATATATAGTGTTAGTAAGGACTACGCGGCACTAGCGATACGAATTAATTTTATTTACTAACACACTAAGGACTAAGACACTATAGTAAAGGAGAACCGGATATAGTTTTTATTAGATATTAATAAGTTATAGTCAGATTTCTATCGCTTTAAGTATTAGGCTAATCCTCTTATTATCGCCGACTATCGTAAGGTAACCTAGTTATCCTTTAAAAGCCTTTACTATAGGGTATCTCCTACTCCTAACCCTATAACGCCTATACCTATTATATTAAAGTTATAAATATAAGAGCGAGAGAGTATAGTTATTCCGTAGTTATTTAGCTAGTTAAAGAAGGACTTCGATAGATATTACCTAGGTAGCCTTCTTACTCTTATATATAAGGAGATAGATATATATAACTACTACTATCTACCTTATATAGGTAAGCCTCGCCTTAGGTAGTTAAGGAATATATAGCACGGTATTATTTAATAGCTTATCCGTTAGGATCTAGCGTACTATATATACTATGTTTTCTTCCGGCCAGACTACGCTTACCGACTAATCTCTTTCCTATACTACGCAAAGAGTACTATACCTAAGGAACAGACTTATTTTAGATATATTAATATAAATCTAAATAACCTAGTGCAGACTAGACGAGGCAGCGTAATCCTATAGGGCAGTCTAGTATTAGATAATAAAGATAAATAGAACTATACTAAGATTCTGCCTAGTATATATCGCTATATTTAGAAGTAGTGGGCTCTCGTACGGGATAGGACGAATATTACGGATAGCTTCGTACAGAAGATTAATAATTATCTTTGGACCCTAGAAGATACTAAGCGATATAGTACTAACTAAGTAAAGAAGATCTATATAGCTAATAATATCCGAATTAGTTTGCCTAATATCCCCTATAAGTCGACGGGCCCCGTAACTAAGAGGCGAAGAAGCATTTTGCTATAGTTTATATATATTAGAGATAACCACTTAACTCTAGATACTCTAGAGTCCGGTACGTAGGAAGAAGTGTCTGCGGCACACTGAGACCTTATATAAGCTCTAAGAACTCTATTAGGGCTTATAAGTAGTATATATAGCTATCTATAATATATATTTCCTATGGCGCTATAATTCCGCGGGGAAGGTTTAATCTCTAAATACTTAGTTAGTTATAGCCACTAGACAGACCCTAGTGTATCGGCTAAGTTAGATATCCTCTTCGGACCGGATAAAGTAGTAATAACCGCCTATATTATCTTATAGAGGAGGAAGGCGCAATAAATATACGCCTAATTATTTAGAGATATAATTAAGGCGGAGAAGCTAGTATTCGGGAAAGATTCCTTTTTTTACTATAAGGTATTAGGGCTATATATTAGTCCCCCTAATCCAGAAGTTATACCTCCAGAGGATAATAATAACGAGGAAGAGATATAATATCCGCGGCGATAGGGAATAGATATTCTGGTCCTATCTTTCTTTACTTTTATTAAAGTGGCTTAGGTATTCTAAATTGACTGCGCTTAACCACGGGACAGTTAATTTTATAGGGAGGGGTGGTATATAGTGGGAGAATTAGTGATATAATAAGCCTATGTGTGGCCTCAGGCATAATTTAATATCTGCAGTATATAGTATATCTCCAGACACACTTAGAGGGAGATAAGTTATGTACCTAATTCATTCAGGATTCACCCAATTTCTTCTATCCATAATGTAGCATTAAGATTATCCCGCGCGGCCGCAACAGGGCATCAGTACGGCCTCATCCAGCATCCTCTACACCAGACAGGCAGTGTGTGTGTGTGTTGTCCAGTCTGCATCGCCAGACAGCCATCGAGCCGTTCCCATTTCACTAGGTTATTGTTATAACCACTGTAAGAGCTCAGCAATCGAAACGTGAACCAAAAAGGCTACTATGATTGCCGCTAGGCAATTATGCTCTTACACCGTATTAAGTACGCACGGCTTACGTGACTGACCCAGTCAGCCAACGTAAGCACCCATTAGGCATTAGGCTCTAACAGTTATAATAGGCTTAGTACTACTATATATAATTACTCGATTAGGTCTAGTACGCTATACCTGTTCGCGAATAAAATAATAGATACCTAGATCCTCTAACTATTATATCTAGGAACGATATTTCGATATAATTATAGGTTAGTATATCTAACATACTATATTATAGCGGCTAGTACGCTCGCGGTATATATTAATATTCTCTCGCTTTATATATATTCGCTCAAATAACTAGGTCTCCTTATATAAGGGTAATATCGCGGTTAAAAATACTATCTATACGCTCTACTAATATAATCGACCTAATTATTATAATTATAGGCGAAATATCTTAGACTTATTCAATATTATATAGTATTTATCGATAATAATTCGGTCTAACTATATTAACTTACACTAACGGTTCAAAAATAACTAAAACCTATCCATAAATACTAACTTAGGCGTAATAAATATAATAGCTATACAATTAGGATATTAATAGCTATCTTATTTAATATATAGAATACCGGCGGCCTAATATCGCTATTATAAATCTATATATATAATATAGTTAATAGTAGTATTACTACGGTTCCGATTGTCATTCGTTACCAACGTCTATAAATATATGGTACTCCCGAGAAGCTGATATAGACCTTCCAAGGACTGCCATCGTGTGTAGAGATGACACAGAGCCCATATCATAACGATTTCATTTCGCAGCCCAAGGAGCGTAAACCATCGGCACACAGCTCCAAGTACGCTCTAACACCTAGATACCTAGGTAGTCCCTATGCAAAACCGTCTAACTCTAGTCCCTCCCCGTCTATTGTGACAGAAGATCATTCACAGCCAGATACTCTTAGGCTGCTCCGGTTATCGGAATGGGAGGAGGGAAGAGTATACGACCAGGATCCACCGACCTATATCCACTATCGTATTGAGTGGCGAGTGACAGTCAATAATCGGGAGGTGGCCAAGGACATAAAGGAAGACCCCGTTTTGACCCCGAGTTCCTTCTGGCAGCTGTTCTTGGAGAAAAGGCTACAAAAGGTTCTATGACGAAAGATTGCCCGCCACCGTCGGGTGAGAGCTGATGACACTGCCATTGTCGTCTCAGTGAATTGGAATAGAAGCGCATGAAATAAGGCACAAATCGGTGCACGCGACGGCAAGCTAGTCTTTGAGCGGGTTGAAACAATTTCCGACAGAAGGCCCGGGATATAATTGTATTAGGGACTGCAGGTGATCTGAGGTCTGAGTGGAAAGTGTGGTGTTCTCTGGCCAATCTCCCACAATCCCTACCTCTCTACTGAGAGAACGGGGTTTAACCAGCAACTTTGTGCCTTCTAGGGTGTTTAACGCTGGGATTTTAAGAATAAAATTTTTAATCCACCGCCTGTAGTCGCCCTCGTTCCGCTATTCGGATTTTGATCGCCGCTCAAATTATAAGCTCCGATTAAATAATCTACACACTATGTAGCCCTGGTTATTTAACTTCTTTTTACCCCCTGTGGAGAAGGATCCAGCTTATAGGAATGTATTCTGGAGGGAGTTGCCCTATAAGTTAGGGAAGACCTTGGTCGTACACTGATATAAGAGACTATAAGAGGCAATAAGCATCTAGGGAACCAAGCCTTAAAGCACCGACTGTAATGGGCTTTTGGTCATGCTACGTGGCTAAGTTTACATTTTCAAAGCAAGAAATTATCGGCACTCCATATCGTGGATGACAAAGATGACGATCCTCTACATTAACCATTACATGGCTACCTTGATTACTGTTGTAAATTTGAGGACCATCGAGACGTGTGCTTGCGTCTCAGCTCCATTTCACAAAAGAATCTCTCCTTGATTCTCTGCCTTGGATCGTGTTAATATGACTCTGTCAAAACTATCTGTCGGTGAATATTATACCTGATAGAATTGGTGGAACTGGAAAATACGTTCCTGGAATTGATTTGAAGCGGGTTTTCCCGGCTCAAGCCGCAGGCAATATCCGCAATAGGTAATCTCACCCCGGTTCATGACCCAATGATAGATGAAGATGGTTTACACCAATTACTGAGGTGGCGCCTAGTAGCAAGTCTATCAGACGAGAATGATTTGAATAATAACAGCGTTTTCACAACTAGTAACTAACGAACCACTTATCCTAAGGGATTTTTTCCTTAGCAGTACGTTGAGCCTGCCAGCATGATCCCCTGTACCCTATCGTTGTCTGCGGATACTCAATCAGCCGTACTTAAACAGGAGTTCTGATGAAAACCTGGCAGTTCTTCTGGGCTGATTTACTCCATTGCACTACAAGTGTTCCGTTGGAAGTACCTTCCTTATTGAAAGCCAAGCACTGATCTGGCTGATCAACACTCTCAAGGCTATTAGAAAAGATTAGTATCGTAAGTTCTAACACTTATATAAAATACACTCACTAGTAAGCACCGCTCCCGTTGTTGGTAGGAATAATCTTCCATCTAGCAAGTTTACTCTTCGCCCCAATAAGATTACCCACAATCTGGCCGCCTAGTTTTCCGTCCGCTTCTCAATGTTAGACACCACACACTAATAGTAGGTTTATTCTTCCGTACCTGAAGTACACATGTAGAGACCAGAGCCATAGTTCAAGACAAAATATTCGTCATTGCCTGCAGCAGCAATAACCCATTTCAGATGATCACCGCCGGATGACTTGTCCCTAAAGCATTCCGAGTATTATGTCTTCCTGTGATTTCTAGAGACAAGAGTCTTACCATCCCATTACCCGAGATCCGCTTGTAGAACTTTCGCCCTCAATGGCAGCCGCAAGGTTCGGGGCATGAGCAGCTAACAGCTGGTAGAGTCCGGGTCCGGTGTAGTCAGACATTTTTGTTGGTTAATACAAGTCTTTAAGTGAACAATGAAGGATGAGCTAAAGAAAAGAAGAACACAAGGATCGGGGGGCTATTTATAATTTGCGCGCCCAAGAGAACGGCCACCAGACTTACTACTATTTCTGCAGTGTAACATTGGACCTGCACATGAAAGAATAACATGTGATGTGTCTACAGAGGACAGAAATATTGGAAAGCTGACTGCATATTAAGTACTTCTTGGAGAAGTACAAATACCAAACCAGTGTAGGATTAGGAAATGCCCCACACAAAGTTATAGAAAGACCAGCAACATCATCCTATGGACTAGAGAGTAGGTGCAGATACGGGACGATTCTTCTCAAGTAATATTAATGTTCAATCAGTCGATGATTTCACGCCTAACTACATTAAGTGCCTGGGATTCCAGGATATCCCCCCAACAAGCTGCAGAAGAACTAATGGTACGATCACATAGGCTACAGTGTCTAGAGTAAATTAGAGTGTGACCAATAGCCAGTCAGCTAGGAAGCAGTATTAGCCATATTTAGCAAACCCCTCTAATTTAGTCATCCTTAGCCACGAGGTTTTCAGGGACAGAGCCATCGCCCACCTCTAGAATGTGACGCATGAATGTCTTGTGGCCTGAGAGAGGCCTGAGGGGGAACGTGATCTGGAAGGAGCCGTGGGTCTAACCCGATTCGGGATAGAAGTGGGTTTGTTTCGTAGATGCTCGTTTCCCTCTTTCTCTCTTCTTCTTCTTCTCCAATTTAGTTGCTTCTGTTAATGATACACGAATTCTTCTTCGTCTTGGTCGGTAACATAGAAGCGACCTTTTCCGTTAGGGATCTTCTGTCAGAGGTCTCCTACTTTGGATGAAATACGGCTACATGAAGTCGTAGGACATGACTATGCAGGATTGGGTATCGTACACCGCCGAATGCACGTCGATTCCGTAATAATTTTTGGGCTAAAGTACCCTATATGCGAGACACACACGGGCGAATGACATACCCCATAACACCATATCAAATGCGGTAAATCACAGCTTCATTATCTCAACATCTATGTCTGATTTTTACTTTTAAAAAGTGGCAGGAAACTTCTTGAATCAACTGTTTCTTAACCCTTTAATGACCGAATGTCCACGAACTGCCTACCACACCGCCCTCTTTTTTTCCCGACGGTATAAGCCGCTTGCGGCTAATGAAAAGATTTTCGGAAGCATACCTAGTAATACCGTAGTATTTTTAACTCGATCGACAAGGCAAATATAATATTTAGTTCATATCACACAAAGACTGTGCTCCACCGGTCTCCCATCTCATGAAAAAGGAATATATATACGGTAAGGGGGTACCTAGTTAAGGAAGGGCACGTGACTCTGCTACTAGGATCTAACCCGCCTCTGTTATCAAATTGAACCAGTTATCTGTGCGCTGTCCCTAATGTTAGCAGTGACCCCGCTGTAGATCTTCCGGTAGATCGTGAGCCGCTATTGCTAGTGCGGTCGCTTCACAGCATCTAGATCCTTTGAAATACCTTAAAGCATATTACATTGCAAGTGCGGGACTTGACACGTCACCGATGACTAAGATTCGTAAGATTCTAGAAACTAATGCCTAAAGCGATGGTTGAACAGCTCTCGTGCAGCTACTCTGATAAATTCAAAATTGCCGATCCAAATATAGCAGTGAGATAACTATGTCCTCCTCTATGTGTCTAAAGCCTAAGCTTCTCATTAACAATATTCTGGGAGCTTAAGAAATTGATTTCCTCTTAGGCAATGACCTAGCTTGTTAGGCAGCTCTTGATTACCGCTCCTTTATGCAAGACTATACACCACCATGCATAGGCCTCCCTATTCCACTACCTTGCAGCTTATAAACTGAACTGTGGCTAGCTCGAGTTTGGAAAGTGACATCTAATAAACTTAATGCAGTAACACTGCATAGTCACAGCAGCATATGATACTATTTGAAAAAACAATGCACTTCGAGTCTATCCCTTGGGGGTAAGTGGGATGTATACATCCCAGTAGGTTAGGGTTTTGTTAACTATGGGAGCCCATTTCCAGATACCAGTAGAAACGCTAGTCCAGATACCAGTAGGCTTTTTTGATTGGATCCCTATCAAAGTTACATTGATTTTAAACAAGCATGTCCCACATGTTGCCAAATTTTAAAATCTATCACCCAATTTCCAAGGGTTGTTACAGGGATCCGAAAATGGGTCAATTAATTTGATGGGGTGCGACCGGGCGATATTTAGGGTTTCATCACGCACCATCACATACCAGTACCATTTTTACTATACCCTGCTCATCCCTCTGCCGAGTGAGCGGGGCTACACAGCTCCTGGCTACTTGACTTTTTTTGGAGACCATTGAAAACTGCAGGCTCCTATCGGTACGATGCTCAAGGGTTTCAGCTACAGAGCAGGCTACCTTTGCCTAGTATGTAGTCGCCCCTACGAACACGCTTATAGTACCATGGAAAAAAAGTGGCTTAAAGTGGCTTGGTTGAACTTTAGCCTAGAGTCCAATCGCAAATAACGATGAGATTCTGCCTGTGCTCCACCGGTTTCTCATCTCATGAAAAAGGAACATGCGTGCGCCAAATGGTTCCCAACTAAGCCATGCGACTGCTTGCCTAGAATCTACCCCGCATATATCACAGGGTCAGTTTTCTATGAGCTGTCTCTAATGTTGGCAGTGACCCCGCTGTAATTCTGCCGGTAGATCGCGGAGTTGCTATTACTAGCGCCGTGGCCTCAAAGTAGCTAGACCCTTTTAAGTATTTCACTGCACAATACATTAAAAGCGGGACTTGACACATCACCAATGAGTAGGGTTCCAGGAACTAATGTCTAAAACGATGGTTGAACAGCCCTGGTGCAGCTGCTCTAATAAATTCAAATATGGCAGCGAGATAGTTATGTCATTCTATATGTGTCTAAGGCCAAAAATTCTCTTGAACTATATTCTGGGGACTTAAGTAATTGATCCCTCTTAGACTTTGAACAACTTTATTACACAGCTCTTTTGATTACCCCTCCTTCTCGCATTACTATGCACGACCACGCATACATAGGCATTCCAACTGAATTGTGGCTAGTTCAAAATTGGAAAAGGATATATCTCATAAACTTAATGCAGTAACTATGCATAGTCACGCAGAAATACAGGAGATTGAGCCAAGTAAGTTTGGCTAATACTATTTGTAATGATAGTGCCCCTCAAGTCTGACTGCTTCTTATATAAATGGGAGGTTACTATTCTATTTGTAACCACAATTGCTCTACTATCCAGGGTTTATTATTATCAAGTCACCATGAATTACCTTACTGTTATTGTTCTGACATTTCTTGTGTCTACGGCCTTCGCCGCCACTGGCCCTGGTCTCCCCCCCGATGAAAGCTTCTGTCCCTCGTGCGTCGGTGGGTAGCATTCACACTTGTCTTCTTGGTATACACGACGCAAGATCTACTGACCTAATACTATAGGTACCCGGTATACCGACACAAGAACGGGCCAATCGGGCTGCTGTCCTCTCGGTACTGTCTATCAACCCGCCGCCTGCGTCCCTGGAACTCCCACTACCACCAATCCAACTTGTCCAGCCGATGACGGAAAGCTCTACGTTAATAGTGGCATCACGTACAAAATTTACTGCGACGTCACAACGAACCTCGGGCCAGATGGCACGTTGTTTCCCCTTCTATATAAGTACCTAATTGCTAATATCCTCCTCAGTTGGTTTCGCCTATGTGGCTGACGCCAAGGCATGTGCGGACCTATGCGCCTCCAGACCAGCATGTGGAGATGCAACATATCGCTCATCTGATAAAGGGTGCTTCATGTCGGTATGCTTATTGTTCCTTATCAAACTGGAAAAGCGATCTGTTGACTAATATGTGGCACAGTCAAATATCCTTGGGCCGGATTATCAAGGTACACCTTTGGCTGGAGCCATTGTAATTGCCAAGCAGTGACATGAACATATTCTTTTGACCTCAACGTCAAACATCGCTTAAAGAAGCATGGCCCGACCCGGCTTCCGCCTAAGGGTGGCTGAATGAAGCAACATGTTTACCTAACCCTTTTTTTTATTGGTCCGGCTATTTGTCAGGATAAGGGCATATACTTCTGCTGCAAGCTCAATGAGACTATGATTTTAAGCATGCATAATGACATCACCATTGCATCGTAGGGGTCTGCCTCTGAGTGGATTGTACCAAATTGTTGATGGGTCATGATTTCATACTGAGCCACGAATGCCCTGGTAGAGTTGTCTTATATGCTCCGAGAAAAGCTGTCATTGTCCCCAGTGTTTAACGTTCACGCTTGGTCGCCCGCTTGATAGGCTGCTGCATGTTGGTTGGACGTGGTTGTCACTGCCAAATTCTAAGGCAAATTACGGTATTATAACGATGACTCATCCATTGTTATCAGGGAATGCAGTACAGTCTAACAGGAATTACTGGGGAATGGCTAATGTTAGACTAGCGTGTTTCAAGCTAGGGTTTGGGAGTGAAGGTCTAAGAGTGAAGTGGTAAATCTGATTTCGAATACTACTGTAATGCTAAGCATTACTCTGCCCTTTCAAGCCCGACTCAGCACCAAACCACGACGCTAGCAAAAATGTTTTTGTCTTGCCCCCTGTCTTGCTATTCTTGTAGAGGAAATAATCGACTTTCTCGGATCTACCGTGTCGATCAAGGGACTTTGATTAATTCACTTCGCCGGAGACTTGGTGGACCGTGCTGTACTGGAGATAACCGCGGTTACTGCCGAGGTTGCGTTTGATCTGGTTGTCTACACTGGCTATGTTCGTATAGCCTAGTATGCTGAGATGACCAATGGGGTCAAGCGGAATCAATATGATCATGACAGCACGACCAGATAAACGATCTAGTGCATAGTTGCGAGCGTCGCCGACCAGGCCACCCTCTCCTGTCTCGGTGGTGGCGGGTTCCTTGATTGGCCATGTGAAAATTGGTGCTCTGAAACAGATCTCAATCAGTATTTTTTTTCTGGAGACCGCTACTACAGTACTTCCGGAAATCGGTGTCGCCACTTACATTTTTAATTCGTTTCCCAACGGGTTCCAGCTGGCGGGGACCCAGAAAAAGTTGATGGGGACCCAGAAAATTATGACTAATCCTAGGTCCCGGTCAGTGTCTATATATGATTTATATAGACTTATCCTAGAATATATATATTATTATCTAAGGGTTTAACTAAGGTAAACCCCTATATCTCTAAACCGCACTATATATCTTTATACCTTTATACTATACACATAAGAAAATATTTTAAATATTAGCAGAATTAATTATTTTATTAGATTCTAATTAATTTGTCTTACTAAATATAAATTGCGTATAAAGAAAGCGGAAGTCTAAATTCATTATCTAAAATATTAATAAATAAGTGAGAAATATATTATTATTAGTTTTACTTCTATTCTTCTTTCTCTCTTCCCTACCCTCTATCCTCTCTATTTATAATAAAAATATATATTCACTTTTATTTTTAACGCGTCTTTATATATTTTTATTATATATTAATAGTCTTAAGTATATTATTATAGTAAATCTTATTAATTATCCTAGTTTAGGCCCTAATAAGGCTATATTTATTAATAGTTTAGTATTAAACGTCACTAATCCTAACCTAGATATAGATTATATATATAGTATATAGCTATAAAATATATATTAAACATATATTAACTATATCTAGGACTAATCCCTAATATAACCCTAGCTAGAAGCTAGTTATCTATTAGTTAGTTATTAAGATTAGAGCTTATAAGTATAATATTAAGGCGGAAGATATCTTAGGAGATCCGCCCTTTATTATAGCTATAGTTCTTAATAAGGAGAATATTAGCGTATAAATCTATAATTTTCTATATATATTAAGTATATACTAACCTAATATAGCTATAATATTATAGTGAATCCCCTAGCTTAGATATATAGAATAGTTCTTCCTAATAGGCCTTTAATATATCGCTATATCCGCTAAGAGTATACTAAAGCTAATAAATATATATAGACTTTATATAGTAAAAATATACTAACTATATAGCTATAATATAGCTATTATACCTGTCAGCATATTCAAGGACTGTCAGCATTACCTTTGTCAGCATTATCAAGGACTGTCAGCATTATCAAGGACTGTCAGCATTATCAAGGACTGTCAGCATTATCAAGGACTGTCAGCATTACCTTTAGTCATCCAAGAAGACTATGATCTTTATAATTGGTCAGGTAAATACGAAAAGCCACCTAATTATAATAGGTCTATTAAAAGGTGTTCTATGGATAGACTATGAATGATGCCTTGATATAGGTCTAGACTATTGATGATACCTTGACATAGGTCTAGACTATTAATGATGCCTTGACAATAGGTCTAGACAATTAATGATGCCTTGACAATAGGTCTAGACTAAAAATGATGCCTAGACTATAATTGATTTCAAAGCAAGACAGGCCTAGACTTAAAACAATGCAAGTCTAATATAGGCCTAGAATATTGTTGATTGGATATAAATATGTCCGCAATTCTCTACAAGAAAAATATAATTTCTTCTTCAATCATCATATCATACCCTGAGGTTTCCTATTAAGAAAATATTCTTTTATTTATCGAAGGATAAAAGACTTGATCTCCCATTTGATCTCCCACCGGATCTCCCACAATACCTAATTGTCGCTCTAAGACCCTAGCAGAAATAATTATAGGCTAAAGAGCTATTAAGTATTAGATCCTCGAGTATAGTTAGTAAAATACTAACTATATACTTAAGCTTAGCCGCGGCCCTAATAATAGCCTAGTTAGATTCTAATATAATATACTAAAGCGTATTACGTAAGTTATTATTTACTTATACTTAATATATATTAATAATATATATAGGGTATCTAATCTAGAGTTCGCCGCTACTTATAGTAGCTATTTCTACTATTTTAAATCGCTACTGACCCTAGGCTTTAGTCACTATTAATATCGCGTAAGTTTATACCTTCTATATGTCAGCATATTCAAGGACTGTCAGCATTACCTTTGTTAGCATATTCAAGGACTGTCAGCATTACCTTTAGTCATTCAAGAAGACTATGATCTTTATAATTGGTTAGGTAAATACGAAAAGCCACCTAATTATAATTGGTCTATTAAAAGGTGTTCCATGGATAGACTATGAATGATGCCTTGATATAGTTCTAGACTATTGATGATGCCTTGACATAGGTCTAGACTATTAATGATGCCTTGACATAAGTCTAGACTATTAATGATGCCTTAATAATAGGTCTAGACTAAACATGATGCCTAGACTATAATTGATTAGATATAAATATGTCCGCAATTCTGTAGAAGAAAAAATTAATTCTTCTTCAATCATCATATCATACCATGAGGTTTCCTATTAAGGAAATATCCTTTTATTCATCGAAGGATAAAAGACTTAATCTCCTATTGAATCTCCCACTGGATCTCCCATATACCCTTATTTAGACTATTAGCGAAAAATAGATATATAACTTTACTTAGCGCTATCTAGAGCTTAAAGCTCGCTTTTCTTAATAATATAATTATTAGCGGACAGAATAAGAGGATCTAAAGATTATTTATATATAGTTTAATCTTATATAAGCTATAATAGTTAATTAAGCGTATTTTACCTATATATACCCGCGAATATTAACGAGCTTTTAAAGTAAGTATCCTTAATTAAAGTTTTCTTAAAGCGACGCTTAAAAAGTCCGCTATCGCCTTCATAAACCGCGTTAAACTAGCTTATTAAAGGCTATTAAATTATAATATAAAATAGTATCCTTCTAAAGTAAGAAAATAAGTAGCTATATACTATAAACGCTATATAAAAGTAAAAGCGTAATTATAAGAATAGATAGATAGCCTACGATAACTGTCTATCCGTACGAGAAGTATTAGAGCTCGAGGAAGCTTATAAGAAGCCCTCGCGGGTAATACTAGCTCCACTAAGCCTATTACCGCGGGATATATAAGTACCGAAGAAATAGCGTCCACCCTAATACACCTATTGCGACAGATCGGACATAAAAGGAATATATATAAAGCTAGAGATCAATTAATATAAAAGGCGTTCTGGTTGATAAAAGTGTTAAGATATAGAGAAAAAGTGGGCGGGTGCGTCACTCGCTTACATGCGTCACTCGCTTACCGACCACGTTTGCCAGAATCAGGGGTAATACAATGACAGAGCTTTAGACATCGTTGATTGGTTGCATACAAGACATTCCGACCTCTCAACAGTTTGGCCAACTGCCTGGGCGGAAGCGCAATAGTAGGTGGTGGCGACATCAAAGGCACTTTTCAGAGGATATGGCGTCTGAACATATATATCGAGTAGATGGGCGCCTGATACATACAAATGGATTCGGAGGCACGTACGTGATTACACCGCGGTGTAGGGGTGGTTAAGCAACGAGTGATGTGGGCTGGGCGGATCCGGTACTGCTGCACATTGTTGTCGTCGACGGCAGAGGTAGAGGTTAAAGCATTCGTTCATAATGCATGGTACATAGAGACAAGAGCCAAGTATATTTCACTCCACTTTTACAGATGTTTATATTTCCACTGCATCCATATCAGGGACACACAACTAACCACCACCAAGCCGACCAGCAAACCTGCCGACCCTGAGAATCCCAGCGTCTCGAACATGGACGGGAACCAGAAAGGTCCAATAAAACACCATGTCTGGCGGATCAATCCTAATAGGACTGATGTCAAAGCAGCATGTTCAGGTTCAAATTCCATAATATCTACAATGGAATGGGTTAGCGTTGCAACAGTCAATCTTAAAGGGATAGACAACATACAATTAATCAAAAAGTTGGACACCACCTGATTGCCGAACCCCGCAATTCCAACACCCACAATCGGGGTCACATTATAATGCATCGGAGCTGTATGATCAAGTTGGATGCAAAACACCACCAAGCCGACCACCATGCACACAAACCCCACATAGCTGAGAGAAATATACCATGAAAGCCTGACATGCGAGTCATTGGGTTTCGCAGCGCGAGCCCTCAGCAGTTTGTGCAATATGGCATTGGCCATTTCTCCCGTCACGGTGCCGACGATGATGCCCAAAAACTGCAGCCCTATCTGTTCGGAATTGAATCCGAACCGGGGTCCAAAGAGCTGTGGAATCTCCACGGTCAACAGGGCTGCGGACAGGCAGAAGATCATGCTGTGCGAGCAGATTGGCAGAGCAATGCGAATGTGTTTTGCCCTCAAGAAGGGGTGGTACATCTCTTTCGCCGTAAAGGGGGTCGGATCAATCCGGCGGAAGGTCAAGTATTGCCGCACACCTGTTTTGCCGGTTTTGCTGTGCTCGATCGGCCCTGGAGCAATGTATCGCGTCTCAGGGCTGAAAAAGAAGTACAGGAAAAATTGGACCCCACTGATGATGGCGAACGTCCAATAGATCCATTCCCAACCGGCTCTCTGGGCGACGAACCCCATGATGAATGGACCGACTGGTGGCCCAAGTGTCACAAGGACTCTGTAGTTGTGCTTAGCCTCAGCCTTCTAAATATACCAGCATGTATGCGTACGTCCAAATTCCTAGCTTATATCCCCGTTCTTGCTCCCGGTACATCTCGACCACGACTGGGGGCCCCAGTGCAATAGGGGCGGCAAGGAACAATGACCCGATGATACGACAGATCAGCATTGCTGCATAGCTGTTGCTCTCGGCACAGCCAATGTTACACACCGCAGTGCAGAGAGTAGAGATCAACCAGACCGGGCGACGACCGAATCGTCTGGAGAGCGGAAGCAGAACGAAGGGTGCAATACCAGTGCAAAGGATCTTCCATGCATATCGTCAGCAGGCCAACTTCATCACGAAAGGAGCTTTTGGAGGATTTACGTGGATTGACGTGAAGTAGCTAACGTCCTGAATAGATACTCCAAATTTCTCGGCAAAGGTTGCGTAGACAGGAATGATTCCTGCTCCGATGAAATTGGTCATCATGGCATGAAATGATATAAGGATCAGGTTGATGTCTTTCTGTCATGGCGATTTAGCAGGGCTCTATCGAAACTGGGCAATGCAAGTGGAAGTGCTTCACACAGCAACTTACTTTCCATTCGGGCGAGTTGAGTGGATTATTGGGGTCGACTGTCGACGGTATGTTGGAGAGGCCTCCTTCCACATCTTCGCGGCTGGTCTTCCCGAATGGTGATACATCTTCAATGTGGTCACTCTCTTCGTCTGGCTTGGGTGAGTCGTAGTGAGACTGTTCCCCGTGGAGGCCCCCATCCTGAGGTAATGTGGCGATAGTGGTCATACTGTCAGGCAATGCCGACTAATTAGACCATGCATGTTCAAGACAGGAGGATCAGCTTCTATAACATGCAGGAGAACCGATCCACCCCGTGGGGAAAGATCCGGGGTTACTCGCAGGGTCCGAGCCCGGGCGGAGCGACTAGATAGGCCGCTGCCGCTGCCGCTGCCGCTGCCGGGAATTCTCCACAACAATTCGGGCCGATCGCTCAGCAGATTAACCGCTCCTCCCGACTTTCGTTCGAGGCTAGATTGATTAACCCGCTAAAAGTGTAAGTATCATATAAAGTAGATACGTACCTGCCTGTAGCAGGGTGTCTAAGCTTCTACTACCTTGTCTGTTCATCGGGTTTAGCTATTGTATGTTTGAAAAAACCAAAAATGAAGGTCTGCTGGGAACGACTCATTCGCTTTCTTGCTACTGACGGCCGTGTTCTCTATGGAGAGCCTATTCTCCCATTCCTAGAATTTGATCTGGCAGATACAACGGCAGAGACCAAACTCCAGGCCAAACTCATCTCGGGAGATATCTACGATGAGGCCTCCCAGGTGACCAGTGAAATTGTCACTGTCAAGCAGCTGCTGGGACCACTGGCCAGAGAAGATGTTCCCATCTTACGTTGCGTTGGATTGAACTACCTCACTCACAGTAAGCCGGATCTCCCTACAAGTGCTCAAAAATGCTGAAATGAATGCAGTCCGCGAGACGGGCCGCACGCCCCCACCGACTCCCTCTATCTTCTTCAAGCCAAATACTACCCTTTCTGATCATGGGTGCGACGTGGTAATTCCCAAGATTGCGCAAGACGAACAAGCTGACTACGAAGGTGAGCTGGTAAGTGGCTGAGACAAGACAAACCAGTCCGATCATTTGCGCTGACTCCCCGACAGTGCCTGATTGTCGGAAAAGATGCCAAGAATGTCAGTGAAGAGGAGGCCTTGAACTACGTTGCCGCATATACCGTTGGCAATGACATTTCGTCGCGTAAACTGCAGATCGACCGGGCCATTGCCGGACCCGTCCCTCAATGGGGTTTCTCCAAGGGGTTTGACACGTTTGCGCCGATGGGTCCGTGTCTGCTGCGGGCAGATGTGATTGGAGACCCGTCACGACTGCGACTCCAGACGTTGATCGACGGAGAGCTACGACAAGATGTGCTGGTCTCCGATCTTGTCTTCGGCTGCGCGGCGCTAGTGTCTTACTTGTCCACCGGAACGACACTGCAGAAGGGCAGCGTGATTATGACGGGGACTCCAGGAGGTGAGCTATCTTTTACCTTTCCCACACGTCCTCATTTCTAACGACAAGAGGTGTCGGGAATGGTATGAAGCCTCCCCGATTTTTGCAGCCTGGTACTCGGATGGAAGTCAAGGTGACAGATATTGGAACGCTAAGGAATGGAGTCAAGTTTGAGTGACAGCTGTAGGACAAGTAGCTTCTATTTTGATCGAAATTAGATCACGATTCAAATTTGCCGAACTTGTTTGTTTGGCCTTTTAGTAGAGGCATTGAGGGGTGGATACTGTAGACACTTGCCGGGGAAATGTCGGGTTACAGACCCGGTCTCTCCCGGCGGAAAAGCACGGTTCTCCAGGGTACCCCGGGTTTCCTCCCACATATTTCTTCTACCTTCCCCCTTTGCATTAATGTTACAGTAGACATGAAAAGAAGCAAACGTTACTGTATCAGCCATATCAATGTCTCCCCATACACTGTCACTGGTGCACAATCTCCTAGACCGTCAGGATATTAGGCCACATCAAGATGGGCCGCCTGATCCGTCCAAATGGCAGGTATGCTGCCACTGCAAGAGGTAAGCCGGTGTCCATCTATTCCCATTATGGAATATTAGCTGATAGAGCCTCACTAGGCTGAAACGAAAATGTGTGCCCTCACTACTGAGACTAAATGCCTATATGGTTATTGACCACCTGTGCACAGGTGACAGAGTACAACCCAGTTGCTCCCGCTGCACCTCACTTGGCCTGGTGTGCCAGTATGGTCGAGCGCGAAAGCGACCAGGCCCTGCAAAAGGCGCTGTTACCTCAAGAACTAAGGTTCTCCTCAGTAGAATCGGTACACTATACCTCCTTCCGGCTTCTTGTTCTTGAACACTGATACACTAGCACGTAAACTTAGACGAGCTAGAAGATATGGTCAAAGGCCTTTCAAGTCAACAACAGGCCTTCTCAAGTCCATTGGCTACCGCTCCATCCGATTTAGCCGATCTAGATGTGCTATGCGCACCTGAAGCCGAGAATCATCCCTCTTTTATATCTCTGGCAGACCTGAATGACTCCCCCCCCAACACGCTCGACGCCTAAAAGTGCCTCACCGGAGGATGATCTTGGTTTCCTCAATTCAACGGGAAATCAAGTCGCCTCCTCTGTCATACTAGACCCCTCTCATCCCTCCTATGTAACATATGGCCCGAGTAGCATGTCATTCTCTGTCAAACATACCCTGTTCGTTTCCATCCTCTCCATCTGTGCCCCTATCTTCGCTAATGACTCCTCAGCCTATCCCTCTACTTCGCCCACATTCAACCAATCTTCCCCATGTTTCGGAGACCTGTCTTCTATGATGATCTCCTGAATGGTCGCATACCAGAAGCTCTTCTTGTCACCATGTTCGCTGTCGCGTGTCGTTTTCTTCCCGATGACAAGTGCAACCGCCTCTTCGGTCCAACACCTGCCCCGTGGGAACACTTCTCCGAGCTGGCCCATCAAAAATCCCGTGAAGACATGGACAGGGAACAAAATCTCCCAGTGACTCTGAATTCCGTGCGAACTGCATGTCTCTTGGCGCTATATGAATACACCTCGACTCCAAGCCGACAAGCCTGGATCCTAGTGGGCAACGCTATGCGCTTAGCGATAATGGCCCAACTACATCAAGTAGACTGTGCTTATTTTCTTGAAGGCTTATCTCCAGCAGACAGAGAAGAGCGTCGGTTTGTCTGGTGGACCATCTGGCGGCTCGACTGCACCATTAATGTCACTACCGTAACGCCATTTGGGATCGACTCCCAGATGATCGGAACAGCATTGGTCTCTACCACGATCGCAGATTTCACTGCTGGCCTGATCAAGGCCACCAACAATAAAGTCTCCGAGATGGATCCCATCAGGTCTTGGTTGTCTGTTCAGGGCCCGCAGATCTACGAAACCGGTGATGGGTTTAATACCTACCTGTTCGCCGTTTCGTTGCTACGGGCTGTGTCTGAATGTCATCAGCGGCTCAATACGAAGCCGAACCCAGAAGATCTCAAACGTATCGCCAGTTTGCATGAGATCTTCACTGCGCTGGAGCTCATTTTCCCGTGTTCATTCTTCGCGCCAGCCAAGTCTCCGATCGAGGAATTTCACACGCATCGACTACGCCTGGAGACGATTATTATGTTGAATACGTGTGTATACCTACCACACCACGGTCGTACGGATGCTAACGAACAACTTCAGAGCCCGCCTTATTATGAATGAGCCTTTCGGTCAATGGACCCCAGAGCTTCCTGAAACCTCGAGCAACGCTGCTCTGGTCTCTTTCCGAAGTTGGCGTGACAGCCTTAACTATGCGAAAGACATTGCAAGTGTCTTCAACCATTGGCCGCCAGATTACTTTGCGGTGTCGGACCCTATCATCAGCTGTGCAATATGGCATGCCTATTGCGGGCTAATGATGTTCGGGATGTCGGGTCAGGGAAAGTCAGGACCATCTTGCGCCAATGTTCCCACCGATGTGCTCGAGATGTTAAGCGTTTCATTGAACAGCTTTACTCCCTGGTGGCCAATTGCTCGCGTTCTGCAAGGTACGATTGTTAGAACCATCAAATTTTCGAAGCATGTTGAATTTATCGAAAACTGACTATTGGCAGACTCACTTCAGGAGTTCCAGGCTTGGAGCTGGGCCACATTGGACGCCGCGAGATTAGTCGGCTTAATCTCTCATATTCGCAAGGCATTCAATCCATTTACAAGTCAACCGGGGCGAGTGGATGTCTCTTTACTGTGTGACTCTCTAGTCTAAGACCTGTATGTGTATAACGTGAATGCCATTGGAACTATATCAAGCATCTATTAACGTCCCTAGATCAGAAAAGTATGCTTGCACCGATTTCAGATTCCCCCGGAGTTGATGCAAATCATGAGCCACCGAGTGAATGAAAAAGTCAGGTCGGAGCAAGATGTACTTTGCTGACGAATGCAGGCGGTTCTGGACCGCATCTTTGTTGTAGCCCTGCAGGGAGGCGATACCATGTCTATCCAATTCTTCCGCCGGGCAGGGGTGATAGATCGCAGTGCATTTATCGCCGCTGACTGTTTCCACCCCCGTCAGGTTCAAGTAACTGATGTCCTTGATGCCAAAGAGTTCTTCTGGCAAGCCTACGTCTTTCACTGTCGCGTTCAATGTATCAGGGCCATAGTCGGCCGGACGCTTCACCAACACCACAAGCGACATGTGTGTTAGATCCCGGAGGAAGACCTCATCGGACAGCCTGGGCTCTTTCTCATCATCCCTTTTCACCCAAATCTGAGCAATTTTTCTCCCACCTCCAGAACCCTGCAAGAAGAACCCATCTGGGCACGTCGTATTGTTGTAAACCAACTTATCCCGGAACGCACGCTTCGTCCTCCATCTCGCCCCTCCAGGAATCCACCAGAGGATGCGCATGCAGATGCGGTAGAGCGTACCCGACCAAAACGAGGTCTGGTTCACAATGCTCCCGTTAAGCTTCGTGGAAAGAGTAGCTACCTCCCACGCATGACGACGCTCTTGACTCCACCCCGTAAGGATTTTGGTTTGCACTTGGGGAGAAACGCGTAATCGAGACATCATGGCTAGACGCCAGCTAAGGGCCTGTGCGTCTCGAATGCCAGTGGCAATGCCTTGGCCGCCAAAAGGGGGGAAGACGTGGGCAGCATCGCCGATCAGCATGGTGCTGCGGCTGTACCAGCGGTTAACAACTTTTGTCGCGAACCTATTTCCGTTATCATTGTCAGCCGACGACCCCTAGCATTCCAACGGACTTATGTGGTTGTGACTAACTTGAAAGGTCGACACCGTAAGACATGTATACAATCTCTCGGGATACTCGACCGGGACACCCGACAATTGAGGCGACAATGACTCGCCTGGAATTTTCATCCATGGGCCAAATTGCCTCCAGAAGCCTTCAAGTGGATCTTCCGACTCCTCCTTGGGTTCGATGTAGTACTCATGTCTGCTAATGAGTTAGCAACACCCTAGTTTCGACCTTAGTAATGGTATCTACTGACCTCCAGAATCTGGCCCCTTTTGGCCCGAACCGTCCACTTACGGCGGGTCGTTGAGCGTCGTTGCAAAAGCTGCGCGCACACTGTCAGCTTGTCCATCTGAGAGGAAAGAATTGAAGAAACTTTACTGAAAGCCCTTCGGCCAAAACTTCTCATGAACCTGTTCTGGCGTGTATCCCAGCCTCCACAACGGGAAATCAGGATGATTTTCGGGCGTAGGAAGATCGACTTGCAAATTAATGGCAACCCAGGTCCCAACGTACGGCCACCTAGTTTCTCATCAGAACAAGATTCACCTGTTTGATTCCTGTGGGCACTCACACAGCATCAACCTGCCTGATCCCCTCGGGCTCCAAGAACTTCTTTCTCACTACTCCTCTTTTTCCATCTGCGCCGACGAGCCATTGCGTCTGAATGGTCCTGCGCTCTCCTGTCGAAGTAATGTACGTGATGGTCATAATACCGCCCGCTTCCTCTCGAGAAATCACCTCGCAGCCGGTCCGCAGATCGCAGCTGGGAATGGTTTTGAGAAGATCCCGAATTTCCCGCTCGTAATTTGGTTGGAACTGGGTGATGTTCTGAGATACGGCGTGCTCAGCCCAATCGGTCATGAGATCGAAAACCATGAACGGTGGCTGACGAAAACTTCCTCGGTGGAAATTGAGAGCGCCGATATCTGTATGATAAATCGTTGTGTTAGGAGCAAGACACATCATATCTCGGGGTATGTTACAAACCATGGCCGATCTTGTTTGTCAGTCCCTCGCCAATGCCGACTTGGTAGGAAATTCGGACCGCATCGCCATTGACTACGATGCCACGAGGGTCCTCGCAGACTTCTTGCTCCTTCTCTAGAATCACCACCTTTGAGGGTATACTCAGCATTGGTATTTCACCTCCGGATTTATTGGGCGTGTACCTTGATGTTCATTCGGCCTAGGAGTGCGCCCAGCACAAGCCCGCTTGGCCCAGCGCCAACAATCAATACCGTCACCGACTCCATTTTTCTCTCGGTATTAGAGTAAGTCATGCGACAAGCTGGGAACGGCGAAAGAAGGTTATGACTTCACAATTTATATAGAGTGCATTGATCATCCGGTGCTAGTTGCCGGTGATGCATACATGCGGCCCTCGGAACAGGATGTTGGACCGAATCTCACAAAAGCAGTGCGGATATTCTTATTTAATTTCGACGAACCTAATCTCTTAAACGGCTCCAGCTGCCGTGAATTGCGGGGTTACCACAAAGGGAGGAGTAGAATAATGCGGAGGAAGTGGTCCCTCCACGGGCGGGGCAATTCATTTGGTAGATCCTCCGCCTCCGCCGACTCCCCGACCCTACGCCCTTTCACTTCGTGTGGGGAATACCGATATCTCTATCGCAAGTTATATACCGCGGGCTCATGATCTTATTTTGGAAGAGTAGCTTTGATCAATCTCTGTATACCGGTCATATCATTCAACATGCCACCCGGTCGGATCCCCCCCGTCTCGAACTCCCCCGGCAAAATCCAGCTGGAACGCCTTAGTCACGTCTACTTCGGTCATGCAGATTTGAACAAGTTCGATGCCTTTGCACGCGACTTTGGATTTGAAGAGGCCGGTCGCACTGAATCGGCGATCTACTACCGCGGTTGGGGAAGGGACGCTTGTACCTATGTAGCCCATCAAGCCGGCGTTAATGGCCATGAAGCAGGATTTGGAGGTGCTGCATTTATAGCCCAGTCTGAGAAAGATTTCATCAAGAGCACATCCTTACCCGGGGCATCAGCGGTACAGGAAAACCCCGCTCCGGGAGGCGGGAAGATGGTCAGCATTGCATCCCCGTCGGGCTCGATCATCCATGTCATTTGGGGACAAGAGGATCGCTCGGTGCCAAAGGCGCCAGTCAGCAGCACAGAAGTCCAAAAGGGACCCTATAATACGACGCTTGTCAAGGCGCGGAAAGGTATGAGACATCACCCCCTCCACACGAACAACAAGTCTGACATAGAAACAAGGGAATTTCAACGCTTCAAACTGGGCCCAGCCATGATCCATAAACTCGGGCACTACGGTTTCCTCTCCCGTATGTTCGACGAGGACATTGCATTCTTCACCGGCAACTTCAACTTCGTCCCATCGGACATCCTCTACGAGGAGATAAAGGATCAGGGCGAAGTCGATACACTGACTTTCATGCATCTCGATCGTGGCCAAACTTACACAGACCATCACACCCTCTTCCTCTCACGCGTGCCCGCTTCATATTCGAAACCTTATCAGATTCACCACTGTTCCTTCGAAGTAGAGGACTTTGACACCCAACTCCTGGGTCACGAACACCTGCTCAGCAAGGGATACAGTCTGGTCTGGGGCGTGGGGCGACATATCCTGGGGTCGCAGATTTTTGACTACTGGAAGGATCCCAGCGGTTTTACCATTGAGCACTATGCGGATGGTGATGTAGTGAACATGGACAATCCCACGGGGCGGATGAAGAGTGAGGGGGCAGCCTCTATGTATATCTGGGGTCCTATTCGGCCGGAAGGTGGGGTTGCTGGTTGATCATGGGTTGCATCGTTTTCCATGGCTTTCGATATTTGAGTCTCTCTGTACAAAATCCCATTGCTGTTTGAAAGGGAGAAGAGGCAAGTCTGTTAGGAGTAAGTTACGACTTGTACCGATCTGGATGGATCATTTTCATTTCTTTGTTGCCTGACGAGACACGCCCACAGAGCGGACGGCCCACTGCTCTTGCCTGAACTCTAAGGCGTCCATTCATTTCGCGTCTCCTTTGTATTTCAACCCAGGAGAGGACGTAGGTACTTCACGAAGGTTGTTGTCCCCATCAATCGTGCATAACTCATACTAGCGCGGACCGTATCCGATACTATCAATGTATTGCTTTTCATCCCAAATGTCCTCGTTTACTCCGATTCCAACGATTTCACGATCAGGATATGGGACTAGGAACTTAGTGTTGAATCGGTTACGAACAGTTAAGAATATTAATATTCGAAGGTATTTTTTATTAAGAATATTAATTTTCCTTAGGTTTTACTTCCTCTTTTAAGATAGATTTTTCTTTTAGAGCTAGGAAAAATATATTTTTTTACCTCTATTGATATATATAGATACAATAGGTATTAAATTTAAGTTTTCTCTAACTAATCTTTACTATCTTATAGTCTTAGTAGGTTATTTCGGTATTAATCCTTTTAGTACGTAACTTCCTTATATCGCTATTTTATAGGCGTATACTTTTATATTCTTATAGATAATAACTAAAATAATTAGAGAGAACTTCGGATTCCTTCTAGTATTATATATAAGCGATCTTAATTAGTGCTTAAGAAGGGATGGTTTATAGGAATAGAGATATATCTAATAGTAATATTTTTGTACCTAGCTAACTATAAAAGGTTTTAGCTAAGTAGGATATATTATTAAATAATATTTTAGAGGTAGAAAAGTGTATTCTATTTAGTAAATATACGAAGGAGTAGATATATAGTAGCCGTGTGGACTAATATAGGTCTGTACGGCAGAAAAAGTTAGGTAACGTGACCGTGTCCCCCCAACAAGAAGGCCCGGTTATCACAATAGTTATTAGTACTTAGTAAGCTTTTATTTAAGAAGCTTAATTAAGCCTAATAATAATATAATATATATAATTACAAGATACTTATAATTATCCTTATACTTAAGGAGTAGAGGGCTGAGCTTAAAGGCCTTTAGTAAGAGGATTAATTTAGTATTTTCTTTGATTATTAAGCCTTATAATATTTTATAAGTATAAAGAAATTAAACTCCTATTATGCTCGCTAAGGTAAGTTCTTATCTTAGTTTTATTTCTTAATCTATTATTTCATAAGGAAGTAAAATATTATTATGAATACCCTCTCCTAAAAGAATTCTAATTTAGGGGGGTAGATAAAAGTAGGTTCTTCTCTCTTAGTTATATCTTAAGTATAATATATACCCTAAGAACCGCGCTAACTCTAACTTTATCTAAATTAATATCTCTTAATATATTCTAATAGCTACCGATAACTCTAATATTATTATCTAAGTAACCCTTATAAACTAATAATATAAGAGTCTTAAGGAGTTTTAAGAATTAATAAGAACTAATTAGGATAGACCTTAGAAATTATAAGATAGACTACTATTAAATATAGATTAACTAATAGTACTAAATAATAGGGACTTATATATCTAGTTACTTAATAAGATCTATTAGTAACCCTTAATAGTATATCCTAGATAAAATAAGATAAAAACTCTATTATCTATATAGTATTTATAGCCTAGATAATTTATTAATATAAAATATTATATAAATAATTATTTAGTCTATAAGTGTATAAAGATATAAAGAGACCGGCCACTAAGCCTATTATAATCTCTTCCTTTATTAGACTATCTATAATAATATATTATAATAGATTTCTAATTATTTCCTAAGAATAAATAAGGCTCTAATATAGTATTTATAGTAATTAATTAATTAAATAAGCGATTAGTCTTACTTTTATATTATAAGACTATTAAAGTGTTAGAGATAGCTTAGTTATTTATCTTTAGTATTATATATTACTTTAGCTTACTAAACTTAATTATATTAGACTAAGGAGGTTAGTTTATGTCAGAATTCTAAATAAAAGTTTACTAAATCCTAAAAATTAAATATAACCCCTAATCATATATTATTTATAGATAAATAGCTAAAGCGAGATTATAAACTAATATATAATATAGTAACTCTACATATTAGGAAATTAATACTAAGATAACTAATCTAATTAGCTTCTAATAATAGATTTCGCTACTATAGCTCTATAATAAGATTTTACTAAGAGATCTCCCTTTTTTATTAAGTAAAGATATAAATTATAGATATCTTTTAATTAGGAAATATTTATAAAATTATCTATATTACTTTAGTTAATATAAGGTATTTAAGACTATATTTAGTAACGCTAAGAGATCTAAAAAAATACGTAAAGGAGATTAAATAAGCTTAGGAGCGTTAGCGCGCTTAGGCAAAAATATCGCTAGGGAATTAATTTTAATATTAATAATATAGTCTTTATTATTATTAGAAATTAAAAACTTAATTAGCTAAGTAAGAAACTCTCTAATTAGTTTAGTAACCCTTATAAGATTCTTTTAAAAAAAGATTATAGCTACTAACTTAACTTATTACCCTTTATTAAGGTTAATCTAGTCTTTTCTCTAGATAAGCTTCGCTATATTATAAAATCTAATTTACTTATAAATTACATTATAGACTTAGCTTTATTAATAGAAGTTAATAATTAATAAGAATAGGAAGTTAATAAAATTATAGATATTTAATTATATTATTAGAAACTTTAATATAAGGCTAAATAGATTAAAATTAAGGATAATAACTAATATCTTATAAGTAATTTTAAGAATATTTCGTATAAGCTAATAGCTTTTTATAAGTATTATTTAGTATTATTAAGACTATCTATATAGTTATTAATATAGTTAGATATTATACTAAATAATTATTTTATAAAGAATTATTTAGATAATAGAAAATTAGAGCCTTAGGGCGAGACTCTTTTAAAAGGGGGACTATATAATATATAATTACCTTAGGGACTAAGGTAGAATATTACCTGGAAAGAGCTATTAGGCTGACTTAATTTAGGATAGAAGTGGTTTTGTTTTGTAGTTACTCATTTCTCTTTTTCTCTCTTCTTCTTCTGTCAGCATATTCAAGGACTGTCAGCATTACCTTTAGTCATCCAAGAAGACTATGATCTTTATAATTGGTCAGGTAAATACGAAAAGCCACCTAATTATAATAGGTCTATTAAAAGGTGTTCTATGGATAGACTATGAATGATGCCTTGATATAGGTCTAGACTATTGATGATACCTTGACATAGGTCTAGACTATTAATGATGCCTTGACAATAGGTCTAGACAATTAATGATGCCTTGACAATAGGTCTAGACTAAAAATGATGCCTAGACTATAATTGATTTCAAAGCAAGACAGGCCTAGACTTAAAACAATGCAAGTCTAATATAGGCCTAGAATATTGTTGATTGGATATAAATATGTCCGCAATTCCCTACAAGAAAAATATAATTCTTCTTCAATCATCATATCATACCCTGAGGTTTCCTATTAAGGAAATATCCTTTTATTCATCGAAGGATAAAAGACTTGATCTCTTATTGGATCTCCCACTGGATCTCCCACATCTTCTCTTTAGTTTAGTTGCTTCTATTAATAATACACGAATTCTTCTTTGTCCTGGTCGGTAACACACTCTCAGATAAATCACGCATTGAGACAAGAGAGCCTCCAAGCTGCTTGAAGTCCAAAGTCGCTTCTCTTTCTTTAGGATCTCAATGAACTCACTTTCATCATCTAATACATTATCAACATCTTTATCTAATTACTTAAAATAAAGAGAGGGCATCAGAGTTGTCCCCACGCCCCCATGACAACAGACATATTTGCTATCCAGCAGGGCAAATTGCGTCCTCTGAAGAAAACATAGTAGTACCCTTTTGGAGGTCTGGTAACCTCGAAATACATCCACGAGGGAAAGCCACTCAAAGGATTACACCAGTTGAGGAGCCTCAGAAAACCGGTTTGATTCAAACCCAATATTAAACACAGAAGACGCATTGTAGCCACCTGGAGAACAAGCACACCTACAACTATCAGGAATAAAGATGTTAATGTCTCCGGTCAGGCATAGCTTGACTGAATCGAAATGTCCTAAATTGAGAAATCGAAATCCCCTAATTAAGCAAGGAGCTGGATCAAAACAGTGAGCCCCTTGTTGTTGATATATTTTCGTTCAGTTCTATTGTCAAGGCAAAAACGGATCAAGTCCGCTCGAGGGTGGCGTACAATAGAGAATATTGTAAGCTCATCTTGACTATATGGTTGATTAAAGCCCTGGAACCCACGTCGAACAAGTGCCTCTACCTCCTGCCGATATTGACAGTAGTGCAATAGGTTATTTTTCTGTGAGCCTCTTTTGGTATCATTGAAAGTGAAACTCACATTTTCGCAGAGTTTAGTAAGGCCCTCAAAGTATGCCCTAAAACCTATATAGTTTAGTTTAGAGGTCAACCTCTATTTCTTTATTAGTCTAGAAGAGGGTAGAGTATAAGTTATTACTCTATCTAGTTTTGTTTTAAAAAGGTAGTTAGATAGTGAGTACCCTAATATAATATAGTAAGGCCTAGGAGCAAAGAGACAATACAGTCTGAGTTGTTGGGTCGTAGAAAAATAATGGTGCTCGACAGAGTGGTCGGGGAACTGGCGTCGAGTTTGAAGGAGGCTAGCAGTGACTGGGATACGACAAATGTGAGATTTGAAGATAAATTGGCACATTTCGAATTTATTTATACCCCACCCCCACAGTCTAATCACTATTTTACTTCTCTCCTAACTTTTGAATCTATTAACAGCACCACACCCGTTTTTCCATAATTTAAAGTGGCTGGCCGTTATCTCCGATTACCCAATCAAGCTCTGGCGCTCATCTCCGGTTTAGGGCCAACGGTCCATTGGTTACGCCCGTTCTTTGTTAAAGGGACACGACTTGCCGTGATCCTCTTTCATGTCATTCATTATTTCACGCATATTGCTTGTATAATGGTAGATTGTTTTACTACTGGATGGGCCCCAAACCGGAATCCAAATCAAGAGTGCGTTAGTGCCCATACTCCTGTATCTAGAGCCAGGTTCCGAGGTTGACTGTATTGATATTAGTAATCTTGTCAAATAATATTATGAAAAGAAAAATAAGCTGACCATGCACCGCCTTGACTTGGGTATACGCTGAAAGGGCATACTCGCCCAACTCTCGTCCAATGCCGCTTTGTTTATAGCCGCCGAATGGAATGGCAAAGTGAGAGTCTTGAGAACTATTGATCTGTTGATTGTCAGGATTGCTTGCATTCGTATAATGACACTGGAAAGTACATACCCAAACCATGCCAGCCTCAATCGCGGCTGCGACTGTGTGGGCCCGGGTGATGTTCTCTGTGAAAATGGCGGCGCCCAATCCGTATTCCGTGTCATTAGCCTTGTCAATAGCATCTTTCTGACTGCTGAAAGACTGAATTACGACAAAAGGTCCGAAGACCTCTTCGCGGACCGGGGTCATATTGCGGTCGGTGTCTTTGAAGATAATGGGGTTGGCAAAATATCCTTTTGCATTGTTTGGCGGCTGATTATCACCAAGAACGAGTTTGGCGCCTTCTTTCTTCGCGGCCTCAAGATAACGCAGAATCCGATCGCGTTGTGCCGCTGACACTTGAGGTCCGTGGTTCACCTTGGGATCAAATTGGCTCCCAACAACAGAGGTTTCAATTGTGTATTGTTTGAATCTCTCCACAAAATTCTCGTAAACACTGTCGTGGACATAGATGCGCGATGTAGATGTGCAGATCTGACCCATATTGCTCATGATCCCAACATGCGACCACTTAACTGCTTGATCCAGATTGGCGTCTTCGAAAACAACCAAAGGGCTCTTACCACCCGTCTCCAGCGTGATTGACTTCAGATTCGAAGCAGCAGCCTTCATGATTGCCTTTCCAGTGATTGTACTCCCAGTGAACGCAATCTTGTCAATGCCTGGGTGCGACGCGATGAATGCTCCGGCGGTTGCACCAGGACCATTGACAACATTGACAACACCAGCCGGAAAGCCAGCCTCGCGAATCAAAGTTGCAAGATACAAAATTGAAAGTGGCGTCTGTTCGGCCGCTTTGATGACAACCGTATTCCCGCAAGCAAGTGCAGGCCCCAATTTCCACGCTGCCATCTGAGCTTAATTAACATCTTTCTAGTTCAAGCTCCGGCAAAGACTGAGGTAAATAACTCACCATTGCAGGGTAGTTCCATGGAATAATCTGACCACACACTCCAATAGGTTCATGCCTGGTATAGGCCAGCTTGGCATCGCTAGTCGGGATAGTTTGACCATGAATCTTATCGGCCCAGCCACCATAGTAACGGAAGACGGAGACCACCTCGGCAAGATCTTCGTTCAGAGCCTGCTCATACGGCTTACCATTGTCCCATGCGTCAATGGTCGCAAGGATATGCTTGTCACGATCGCATAGCTCCGCCAACCGGGTCAGAAGTACCCCTCGATCGTAACCTGTGACAGATTTCCATTCGCTTGACTTGAATGCTTGCTGAGCAGCGGCAACGGCAAGGTCGATATCATCTGGCCCTGCAGAAGAGACGCTTGCGATCACCGACTCATCGAAGGGGTTAATAGTCGAAAGCGTTTGGCCGGACAAAGATGGAACGAATTCATTGTTGATAAACAGTCCTGTATTAAGTGATCAGCCATGGGCAGCGACATCCAATTCCTCGGCAGTGTTTTCTTACCAGTAGGCTGCAGATAGGTTGTGTTATTGGGGGCAGTCAACGCGATAGGCCGAGCCATGACGAAAATATTGTAGTGAGAGGATTTGTTTTGCGTAATGCTATTGTGAGATGCCATATTTATATTTTTTTTATCTGAGAACTTAGTTTGGTTGCCCCACGAAGGGTTGTTGTAAAGGAAGTGGTATGAAGGCAGGTCTACGGATATTGGCCTATCTTTTTACCGCGCTGGGAAAGGCCAAATTGAAATGTCTTGAAATTGATGGACAAGCATGCACAGGCTAAATTGTCTGCGGAGTAATATGGGAACGTATCTGCCAAGGTTTAGCTGGCCCAAAATCTTTCCTATTGAGGTTAGCTTCGCCCAACTCGCTAAAACGGATGCTGCTTTAAACAATTCAAACCCCAAATATCTCCAGCGGCTAATTTAATCTTCGATATCTGGGCGTGCGGTTCCCTATTCAGTAGTCGGAAGCGAGAAGACTTGGGCAGCTTTTGAATATTTTAGGCAACTAGAAGGGCAACAGCCAGGACCATGTCCATACTAGGCATGTCTTCTGGCCATTTGGAAATTGGAAGACGAGCTCAGGAAAGTCCATGGGCTACTATATAAATAGCTACTTTGGCCGACATGTGTCACCAATCAATTATCCTGTTTCTTATTCTCTTGAGTACCACATCTCTTTTGTTTGTTTAAGCAAAGATGCACTTCTTCAACTATCCCGGAACTGAGACCAACTCAGAATCTTTCCACTACTCGCAAGCCACCCGCATCGGAAACACTGTCAAAACTTCTGGCCAAGGCGGCTGGGATGAGAATGGCAGTATCACTTTAGATGTGGAGAAACAAGTCGCCGTCGCGTTTGCGAATGTCGAAAAAGCCCTGAGAAATGTCGACACCCGCCTGTCTTGGGAGAATGTGTACGCGGTGCGCAGCTACCATATCAATATGGAAGAGACGTTTGAAATAGTCACCAGCAATTTCAAAAAACTTCTGCCGAATCATCGGCCCATTTGGACTTGTGTGGAAATCAGAAAACTCGGGATTGAAGGGATGGTGGTGGAGATCGAGGTGGAGGCCCATTGCCCATACTAGGAGTGGTCATTGCTGAAGCATCCTTGAGCCCGCTGTGTCCTGTCGTTTCAATAATCTTATCAAATCGAAAACTTATTCATCAAATATCTCTCAGCGCTCTTCATATTTTGTTGGTCTTCAAAGTGCAAATAATGCCATAAATTTATGTGAAAGTTCCTTGTAGGAGTATTCCCGAACTGCGTACTACATGCGCCTAAGAAGATCGAATCAAGATACTACTCGCATTGATACATGTGAGATCAATGACAATCGCAACCCGCCTATCGCTTAGAAAGCCTCAATGGTTTATAGATAAATGCCGAGTTCAAAGGACCGATAAGCCGTATTTCCGATAGTTGGTAAGGAATTGAGACATGCGGGGTACGTGGACCGGGAAATCCCCGAGCTAGGCTCAATGAGGAAGGTTTTTGGGCCATGTTCAAAGCGTTCTTAAGACTCAATCAGTACACACTCTCCCGCAGCAACATTTGTTAGTCACTAGACGCATTTACCCCGCAATTTTGCTAAGAGCAACAGAATTTACGGGAGCACGCGACTGCCTCAACCGAAATACCTGATAGTGCGATCTTTATCCTTCGAGAGTCTTAGCTTATCTGCTTGGCGAGGCGCTAGACCGGTTACCGATGAATGGCCCAAATGCTTTCCCTTGCTGGACTAGAACAAAGCTTCTTTGTAGATCATGCGCAGTAGATGGGGTGTATAAAGCAAGACCTACGTTCCGACAAAGACAATAAACGGAATGATCGGAACTTCAGCACATTCCTTTTCAAGGCAAGCCATGGAGAAATCAAAATCTAGCTTCGGCTCACTGGATGCAGTCGAGAACGCTCAGCTAGGTACTTACCAGGATGAACAACTCTATCGGCTGGGCTATACGCCTCAGCTGCATCGCACGCGGAAGTTGTCGACTATGCTGTTTATGTCACTTTCAATCGCATCTATCCCCTATGGCATCGGCAGTTCCTTGATGAATGCCGTTTATGGCGGTGGTCAACTATCACTGTTTGTCGGGGTGCTCGTTGTACTGGCATTGGATTCCTGTGTCGCTGTTTCTCTTTCAGAACTCGCATCAAGATATCCCACCTCTTCGGGTGTCTATCATTGGTCGTTCAAACTTCTCAAATCTACTGGAAGCCGACGGCTAGTATCTTTCGTTACTGGCTGGATCTGGCTCATTGGCAACTGGACTATTTCTCTTTCGGTCAATTTTGGCATCGCGTCACTCATCGCTGCGACAGTGTCAATTTTCTATCCCGACTGGACGGCCACATCATGGCAGCTTCTGCTCCTCTTCTACGCAATCTGTCTTATCACCTTCATAATATGCTTCTTCGGTGACCATTTACTTCCCCTCATTGACACCTTGTCAGCGGCGTTTTCAGTTATCACTTGCATTGCCTTTGCTATCACCATGGCCGTTCTTGCCAAAGACGGTCGACACGATACCCATACGGGACTTGCTGGCTATGATCCTTCTTACTCCGGATGGGAACAGCATTTCACATTTTTCATCGGACTACTTCCACCGGCCTACGCTTTTTCTGCCCTTGGAATGGTCACGTCCATGGCAGAAGAATGCACAGATCCTGAAATACAAATCCCTACAGCAATCAGCTTGGTGCCCGTTATTGGTGGTGCAGCAGCGCTGGTGTTTACCTTACCAATCTGTTTCACTATGCCGCCTCTGGCAGATATCATTACTGCGCCCTATGGGCAAGCGCTGCCATATGTCATTCACGTTGTGACAGGATCACCAGCAGCATCGGTCGTTTTGATGATACTCGTGCTGCTTGTTGCTATGTTCTGCTCTATTAGCATTACTACGACAGCAGGCAGATGCACTTGGGCGTTTTCTCGAGACGATGCCATTCCAATGTCCCATATGTGGTCATCCACCGTCAGGGGTAGTCCACTATCAGCGCTCTGTCTGGTTACAGCTATCGAGATGCTATTGGGACTCATTTATCTCGGAAGTAGCAGTGCTTTTACGGCCTTCGCGTCAGTCGGCGTGATTGCATTGGGTGTTGCATACGCGATTCCTATTGCGATCAGTCTTTTTGTTGACGGTCGGAAAGAAGTGGCTAAGTCTCGCTGGAAGCTAAGCAATGCCATTGGAGGAGCAGCAAATGTTCTGGGGTTATTTTGGATTGTCTTCCAATTGGTCCTATTCAGTATGCCAGTCACGCTTCCAGTGACCAGTGCGTCCATGACATACGCATCAGTCGTCTTTGTTGGATGTGTCGGTCTAAGTATGGGATGGTATTTACTTCACGGTCGGAAATGTAAGAAGTCTCTCAGCGTCCGAGCTTTTCTTAACCAACTAACAAACCCGCTTCCAGATTTCAAAGGGCCGAAGGAAGAAATAGAACAATCTTAACTTCGAGTTACATGTGAACACCTATTGGTGGTGATCAATTCATAATACTTCATATAAAGATTTACAGAAAAAAAAAATAAGAATTATTGAATTATAATACCAGAATATGGTTTCCCAGACAAGTAAACATATCTCTCCAATCACCTTCCTGCCTTCGAGAAGACCATAAGTCCTCTAAGGCCGCACGAATACTCAACAATGAATTGAAGCGCAGTCTTAGATATATAGAATCCAGTGTGTCGAGAATATCCTGCTGGTGGCCTGGCGTGAATGAATGGGCACCGACAACGTAAACGGGAAACACAATACAGTTATGGGCCTTAGAACTGCTACTGATAGCCTTAATACATCCCATACAAAAGTTCACATGCTGCTGGACAAGATGATGCCTCGGCGAAAACCCACAAATAGTCCGGTAGAGGTAAATCAGAGCACTGTGCTGGAAGGCCCGGGTAAATGCGATCGTTTGATTGAGACGCTCCATTTCGAATTTAGAAAGGGTCTCCTCTTCCGGACAGTTGAAATGATCGAGCCTCAGCACCGAAAAGCTAGGCTGGAGACACCTTTCGAAGTCACGGACCTTTTCGATGGATAGTTCCTCGTCTCCGGCTTGAACCGACTGTCGGTAGAAGGCTATTTGTGTCATGGTGCGAAATACTACCGCCAGTGTTACCCCGTATGTCTGCTTCTCCCACCAAACTGTGCCCCTTTCGATGTTACGCCAGATTCGGGCGGGAAAAGAGGGGACCCTGTCATCAAGTATAGCGCGAGTGAGATCGGTGGAGGCAAATTCAGATAGAAGCATGTGCGGAGTATCTTTTTGGCCCTCATCTATAAGCATGTTGAATCCACCAAGCTTTTCGACAATGGCTCGCACACCAGCCTGGTGGCTTATTGTGGAAGCGGATTGCTCCGCGCAATCGATGAAACCATCCAGGAAATAGAGCAACAGGACGGCGACAAGCAGTTGAGAAAGAGACTCGTTATTTGAGACACTTTCTCGGAGTTGCTTTCGGACAGAGGATAAACAAATCAATCTCTTGTTGCTTATAGCCTGCAAATGTGTCAGGCTAACTTCTCGCTGGAGCAATCGGTGAGCCTCTGCTAGTTCACACATAGCTAGCAATACTGGCTCGGATTCTAGGGCAAGAGATATCGGTGGCGGACAATGCTGTGTAGCAGTGGATAGCAAGGGCCACAAGGCGGCTTGGAAATAGTCAAGAGCTTTGAGTTCACTGGCTTCTAGGCGACTGTCCTGGATCTGTCTGAACAAGGTGGATTTGGGCGATGTGCTTGAGGCTTGATATGCGACGGGTGCGGCTTTAGTTGGACGTGAGTTCCAACGCACGAGTATCTTGTCGAAGCTGCATTGGGCACCCGACACGTTGCAACGGCGGCACTGGGGGCGAGCTAGGTCACATTTCACGCGTCGTTGCTTACAGGGCCAACAGGACCCTTGGATTGTTCTTTGTCTTTTTGCAGTCATGTTTCCTGTGGGTTCGTGAACTCTTAGATTGGAGGGGTGAAGAAGACGCAAAAGGTTACAGCGACGGGGGTAAGATGGTTCAGTTGATAGGACAACTGTAAGACTATCGCAGCAGCTCTCCCGTGGTTGCCCGTTTTTGGAAGGCCCATGGAGGGCGAAGAAAATGCGAATGCGAAATGGCCAAGATTTGGAAAATGGCACGATGCATATCCAATATGAGGGATTGAATAACAGCCCGGTCGCAAGTACCGCAGAAGCGGGGGTTTGGCGAACCCCAAGAATCCTGTCGGGGTATTTCCGAGAGGTCCCCGAGATAACGAATTCCGTACACAAACGGGCTTGGAAGTTTCCCAGCAGGGCTAGTGGCGTGTCGTGGCCCAAAGAGTTTCCTAAAAGGACTTAGTCGCGTGTCCGACATCTGGAGCAGCGATCATATGCGGCTTACGACATGCATGATACTTTACTTAAAGAGCACTTCTGCTGCCCTGTCTACTTCATTGTAGCTCAAGGTCCCCTGCCAATGTAAACATCCATCTAACAATTATCTTTGAAAAGTCGGCACAATGATCACTGCCGCGGATCTTCGCTTGCCAACCAGTCCCCTGCCTTTCCTGGGCCTGTTAGTTTCGATTCTCACATGGCTATTTACCAGGTGGCCTATACAACAGAAGTCACGGCCCCAGCAAATGAAAGAGAAAGCAGAAGAGCCATTCGTCACACCCCTTCCCAATTCTCAATCCGCTGATCCCGATTCTACATCACCAAGACTGTATCGCCCATTCCGCCATGGCCCGAATTATATCACCATGGGAATTCGCAAACTGAACTGGAATAACTGGATTGAAATGGACTCCTACTTTCTCCGTTACCATGATATGAAAGCCTCTGAGCTCAAGAAAGATTTCAAGGAGCATGTCAAATACGTCGACAACGCGCTCACTAGAGATGCCTGCTTCGAGCTCAATGAGGAATTGGTACGGTACTTAGTCCATCGGTATCCTAATATCTATCGGTTGGAAGGAGGGAAGGTGCACAACAGTCTCACAGGCGAGGAGTTTGCATTTCCTGCCGGTAAGGTCAACTCCTGCTTTTTGGTATTAAACAGGGCTGACTTTGGCCATCTTAAGCAACCCCCGATGAGGCACTTGCAACATCGGCTCTTCTTGTTCAGGATGATCTGGTCATTATGGTAAAGAACGACGGTAAGATGATGATTTCTACTCTGGTTCTTAGGCCAGCTTTCGTTCTAATAGATATTAGATGGGGAATATCACCTTGATGCGGCTGCAGTGTGCCTCCCGGGGTTTTGGCGCCTCAAAGAAAAGTTCCGCATGTCGCTCGATACTCTTCACTTCGAAGCCGGCGTTCCCCACTATGCGGCGAAACTACAAAAAGCAATGAATAAGTTCTTCCAAAAGTTGACGCCCGACAAGCCTGTTGAAAGAAATAATGTATTTTTATACTCCCCTCGCCATTTAACACACGCCGGTCTAACAGTGATAGTTCTTCATTCAACTCGATGATGGACTACACTGGTCCCATCGTATGGGCGAACAGACAGGATCCGAAGTTGCCTGTGCGTTTTTTCACATCTCTGGAATCGCAGGACATGTTTACTAATGAAAATGGAACAAATAGCCTGGGCTACGGCAAATAGTAAAGGTCTCTCCGTCGAAGAGATCCACTTTCGCTCAGAGCGACAAACCTTGCGTCGGTTACCCCGCTCCAAAGCAATAGTATTCACGATTCGCACTTATTTCGAGCCAGTGACGAAATTGGCTCAGGAGCCCCACGTCCCCGGGCGTTTGGCAGAGGCAATTCGGAGCTGGGATGAGACAGTATCTTTTTACAAGGGCAAGTCTCACTGGGACAAGCTCTTGCTACCCTATCTGGATAAGCAAGACCAACTACAACGGGAAAACGGGATCACGGAGAAGAATGAAGAAGGTGATTTTCCTTACTAATTGTTGACAGTCCCTATTTTAAATAATAGTTTCTCTAGCTACTATCATATTAACATATTTCCCAAGCGGGTCGCAATCCCAAGCGGGTCGCCACCCCAACTATTTGATTCTCTATCCATGAAGCCTTTAATTGACCACAACGCCTTTATATTCAATTTAAACCCTGTCTAGACATTTATTGACCCTATGGCCAGGATCTCTGCATATACTGCATTTGATTTGCCGTCTGCTGGTTCCTTCCTTGGGTACTGAAGCCGTCTGGGTGGGTGCTACCCCATGGGGGGTAGTGGTATGCATTGCATACCAGTTAGGGTTTTGGCTTTACTATGGGAGAAAATGGCGCTAGTGAGTATATACCAGTTGGATTTCTTAAGTGTATCCTAGTTAAAAATATCGGTCGGATAATACTAAGAATTTCAAAAGTTCTAAACTAGCGACTACTTTATACCTAGTTTTAATTTTAAGCTCGTATAACTAAGGAAAGAGGTACTTTTAGGGATTTAAAAATCGGACTTTTTTTTTAATAGGGTACGCTTTAGCTAGTCAGATAAAACTTAGTTATCCTTATACTAGGGACTTATATAAGCTAAATAGAACCCTAAAGCCCTCTCCTTTATTTGAGAAGGTTAATTAATAATAATTCTATATTTTTCTAAATTTTAGGTAGGTACCTTAGGTATAGCTATTATACTAAGATTAATGTATAATATATTATATAATAGATAGGAAAGAAGATATAGAGAGTATATAGTAACTTTAGTATAGATTTTATAGACTTCTAGATATATATATTGTCACGGGCCCATGCCCGGTATGGGTCACATAAACCACGTGACCCTAGCATGTTAACAGAACGAACGCACGGAGGGAACATCCCTTCTTTAAGCTTTTTGTACACAGTTCGTGGCCTAGTCAGATTGAATCTAAGTCTCGCTTCAGCCCTTCACATACAAAAAGCTTCCGATTCACTATCGTTAAACCGACGAAGCACCGACGAAACACGACCGTTTCCCCCACGAAGCCGTACCCCTAGCGAGGATGCAGCACCAGGAAGCGATAAGCCCACTATTATAGGCACAGACGCTGCTACAGCAAATAGCACAGACCCAAGCTATGCAGAACGAAGAACGAGAGCGACGCAACTAATAAGACGCCGTTCAAGAAGAATGAATCCGGCGCCTCGAAGCAATACTAGACTAATAGGTCCTACTTACCACGACGACAACCACGGAAGAATAAGCGACACCGTCACAAATCGCCACTAAAGTAACAGCGGAACACCCACGAAACGAAAGGCCTTACCGTCTAAAGGCACGACTACCGGACCCTATCCTATTCGGTGATAACACGAACGACTGGCTAACCTAGCGTATAACGATCGAGAACAAACTAAGCGTTAATAGATAAGCTATTAGTTCGCCTCAGGACCAATTCATATATATATTCTCTAGGCTAGAGAAACTCGCCTAGAAGAATAGCGGAACGTTCGTGAAACTACGCCGAGACACTAGCGACCCTTAGGCACTATTAAACTACCTCGAGAATATCTATAGAGACCTAAATATTAAGGCACGCGCAGTGAGACGGTTACACCAGATCTGATAACCCGATAGAATAACCTTTTCGAAGTTCCTACTACGACTAGAGAAGGAGTTTACGGACGCAGACGCCCTAGACTAGCATAACGAAGCTAAGAGGCAGATCCTCCTCGGGGCACTTAATAAAATAATAACTAATTCACTTATGAATCGTGATATTCCCGCTACCTTTTCTAAACTAATCTCTAGACTCCACGAAATTAACACGGATATAGATACCCTTAATATTAATAAAGCCGAGCGAACGGGTCGTCCACGCTCACCGAGAGCGAGCGATAACATAGATTAGACTTTAACACTCACAGTAAACCGCGCTGAACCACGCACGAAAACCTAATGACTAAGTAATGATACCCCTAGACGAGCCCAGTAGGCAAGTCCCGACGAGTTAGACAGACGGTAAGCTAAAGGGAAGTACCTACGATATAGTAGAGCGGGCCATTATATTACTGAGTGTATACTCCTACCCGCCTAGCGACCGAATTATCTACGAATTATAACCGATTTAGGACAGAAGGGGAAGAAGTATAGCACCCGCATAAATAAGGCGAGACCGGCAAGCGATAGCGAAGTGACGCCCACAGATAACGACGATACGGCCACAGAGGAAGATTCGGGAAAAGAGTAGCTCCTGTCCTTAGCCGCGAATAGGAGTAAAAGGGGGTCAAAAAGCTACTAAAACGAGAGACACTACTATTCTTAGTCGACGCTAAAGTAAACAGAATTCAATTTATATAAGCTCTAGTTAATAATAGTTACCGTTACTATACTACGGTAAACGAGCCTCTTGTCCAGTCACTTCACCTCCCGCGCATTAAGATACGACCACGAATCCTCAACGGAGTGATACCGAATCAGTACCGAATCACCCACACTACGTATTTCGATCTCGACGTCTATAGCCACCAGCAAAGCTAGGTATTTATATATATTATCGGACCACAGGATAATAATATAATACTTAGGGACCTATGGCTACACGACGTGAACGGACGCTATTCGGCCAGAAAGGGATACCTAGATATCTTCACAAGGTCCGGGAACGAACAAGATATTAGAATCGCGCAGACCGTACGATCAGACCCACCGGAGCGAAGGCGCTATATATCGTATAGGCTATAGCACTAACGATTAAAGAGCTCTTACGGAACGCATTAAGCACAGAACGCGTACGAATCGGCAGGGTTTCGCTAAATAATATTAAGAAAGCGCTACGACCTAAGGAGTATATTAACCTAAAGGATAAGCTACTAAAATACTACTAGCGATAGTTAGAGGTCTTTAGCCAATAGCTAGCTAATAAACTACTACCCTATTAGCCTAGAGTCAATCATAAAATTCCCCTAAAACGCGACCGAAATGGCGTCGAAGAGTTACCGCTATACGGACCCCTTTACGGCATAAATAAGGAAGAACTACTTTATCTACGGAAGACACTAACGGACCTACTCAGGAAGAACTTTATACGGGTGAGCTAATCCCTAGTAGCCGCACTTATTCTACTAGTTCGGAAGCTCGGGGGAGGCGTACGATTCTATATCGATTATAGGGGGTTAAACGAGCGAACAGTGAAAGACCGATACCCCCTCCCACTGATCCGCGAGACGCTACGGAATATTGGCTAAGCCCGATAGTTCACGAAGCTCGATATTATCGTAGCTTTCTATAAAATCCGCGTATAATCAGGAGAGGAATAGAAAATAGCCTTCCGGACGCGATATAGACTCTACGAATAGAACGTCACACCATTTAGGCTAATAGGCGCATCAGCGATATTCTAAAGGTATATTAACCAGACCTTATAAGAGTACCTAGACAACTTTATATTAGCGTATATCGACGATATAATCATCTACTCTAGCGGAACGCTATCGGATCACTGACGGAAAGTTAGTGAGGTACTACAGAAGCTAATAGACGCGGGTCTTTAATACAATATTACGAAGTCAGAATTCGAGCAAGACTCAGTGAAGTACCTCGGTTTTATTGTCTAAGCCAGAAAGGGTATCTATATGGATCTAAAGAAGGTAGAGATAATCAGAGTATAGGAGAGGCCAGAGTCTATTCGAGATATACGGAGCTTTATCGGATTCGCGAACTTTTACCGGCCGTTTATACCACGTTTCGCTGACCTTTCGGCGCCGTTTATATAACTAATAAGGAAGAACGCTACGTTCTAATAGGACGATAACTGTTAATAGGCCTTCACGGAGCTAAAGGATCTTTTCGTTAACGCACCGATCCTAGCGCACTTCGAAGAAGGCCGTAAAACAGTAGTCAAAGCCGACGCCTCCGGCTAGGCCACTAGGGCAGTCTTATTATAGTATAGACCCGATAGCTACCTACGACTATATATCTATCTATCGCAGAAGCTATCCCCGGCAGAGTCAAACTATAAGATCCACGATAAGGAGCTCCTAGCTATCGTGCGAGCCCTACGTGAATAGAGGCCGGAGCTAAAGATAGTACCCTAATTCACTATCGTAACGGACTATAAAAACCTATAATACTTTAGTAAGGCATAGCACCTTAACGAACGGCAGATAAGGTGGGCTAACCTTTTAACGGAGTTTGACTTTAACCTATAATACTATCTGGGTAAGCTAGTAGTACGGCCAGACGCTCTCTCTCGTCGAAACTAAGATATACCTAAGGGTATCTCCGATAAAAGGCTATTAAATCGCTTCCGAGTCCTACTTAAAAGGGTCTCGGTTAAGATAAGGTAAGCAAATAACGACTAAGCCTAAGGAGAGACAGATTTCGAAAGAAATGTTCCGTTATTCGAGGAACCGGAGCTACAGGCAGAGTGGACAAAGGTAAGGAGTTCCGATATAATATACTAACGAATCTCCCACGCTTTACTGAAGGGAGACCGTCGAATCGCGGCCGAAACGAATATAAAGACGAGCCTATCGGAGTGCTATTTAGATAATCGAGGGTTACTTTATTTCAGGCAACGAATATAGATCCCAGATAACGAGACCCTACGAACGGGTATTATCCAGAAGATCCATAACTTATATATAATAGCGCACCTCGGACGAGACACGATATATTCGATACTGTCTCGACGATTCTTCTGGCCCAGAGCCGCGAAGGATATACGATAATTCCTACAGAACTGCACCATTTGCGGACGTAGCTCGGTATAGCGTGACACAAAGTATAGGCTATTAAGACCACTGCCGATTCCCTAACGAATCTAGGCCAAAATATTAGTGGACTTTATTACCGGCCTACCGCTATCCGGATCTATAGGAGTAACGAATTATATAGTAATTACGGACCGGCTAACGAAAGGCATAATCTTTATCGGAATAAGGGATATAATAGCAGAAGATATAGCGGAAGCATTCCTTACGTACTTCTATATACACTATAGCGTCCTATTAGCGATCGTAA